ATTTTGATTTATACAATTATTTAACATTTCATTTATACAATATTTCAAATGATAATATATAAATAACAATAAAATGGTAAAATTAAATATTTAAAACAAATGAATAATGTAATTAATAATTCAATAACAAAATAAAAGAATAATAAAATTAAATTAAATTCATTTCTATTTTCTTATTTATCTTTATTATTATATTATTACTCTTTTATTTTCTTCCTATTCATTTTGTATATTTATTCTATTATTTTGTTTATATTCTTATAAAATTCTCTTTATTCTTTTATTTTTTTATTCTTCATTTCTTATTTTATTTCTAATTTTAATATTCAATTATTTTAAATTAATTTCCTTCACTTAAACAATGACACATTCATCATTATAGTATATCTTTTTCAATACCTCATTCTTTTTCAATTCATTCGGACATCCTTCATAACATTCATATCCTATTTCACTAACACTTGTTGGTATATTAATTGCTGTTAATTTTGTACAATATGCAAAACAATCATTTCCTGTCACTTCAATATTTATTGGTATATTGATTTGAAGAAAAACATCCTTTGGATATTCCATGTCACTTTTCTGGTATTTTTCTTTTCATATTTTTCTATGTCTTTTACCATAAAAATAGTTTGTTATTTTACAGTTACTTCGTCTTCTTTGAATAATGTTGAATGAAGAATTGGTATTCTTTCTATTTTATTCCAGTGATGTTTATAATTCTTTTATTTTTATTTTATCATTACATAATCATAAAAATAGTGTTTTCTTTCGTTTTCAATTTTTGACGTGATTATGTCGTCATTTTATCGTATTATATTAACACAAGTATTATTTCAGTGTTATTTTTATTTTTTTCATCTCATAAATTTTTTTTCTTTTTTATTTATTACACCTTTTTATTTTTCTGTTTGTTGTCTTATTTCATTTTATTCATTTTGTATATCTATCTTTTCTTCTTTCTTTTATTATTTGGTGTTGATTATTAGTACTTATTTATTTATTCATCACTCTTAATTTCATTGTGCTATTCATTCGATTATTTTCATCATTGATTATATTGTTATTTCATTATTCTTCTTATTTTCTTTTCTATCTTAATTTCTTGTGTTGAATTTTATTTCTTTTTATTTCTCTTTTTGTTTATATTTCTTATTGTTATCTTTCATTCTTCTTTTTTATTATTTCTTTTAAATTTTAATGTAGATTTAATTTGAAATTTTTCATCATTTTATATAAAATACTTTTTATCCGTTTTGGTTGACTTGAATTACTTTAAATTAAAAATAGATAAAATCAATTGAATCATTTTATTTAACATTTTCTCTATAGTTTATTCTTTTAATTTTATCGTTAATAATATTTCTTTGTTTCATCATTTCAAACATCATTGTTCTGAAATTGTAATAACATTGAAGGGGTAATGCTTGTAATGTATAAAAATATTGTCATTTTTATTTCAATTCTTTTCAATTTCTTTTTTGCTTTATTTTCTTTCGACTAAAAAATGAAAAACACGAAATATCACAAAAACATTAAACATAATAACAAAAGAGAAGTTTATATCAATAAATAAATATAAATGATAGAAGAATGTTTGAAATATATTATGTTTGTATTGATAGAAGTACAGTAATTATCACACAAAACATTATAATATTAATAAGTGTCACAATAACTGTTATCATAACAACTATATCATTAATGACATAATTCATTTCATTCGTTTTCATCATCATAATTACTTTATCATTAATTCAAATAGAAACAATTATCATAATAAAAACACTCTCTATAAATATAAAAAAGGAATAAAATAAACAGAAAATAACAAATGAAAGAAAATAATTATACACATCGTTATTGAAATTGATTGACATCAAATAAGTGAATTGAATGATGGTTAAAAGAAAAAAAGTTAAAAATACACCACGTGTGTACATAGAACATTCAACGATAAGAAATTGACAATAACAAAATAGAGATTATTGAATATAAAAAAGAAATACATTTCTTAAGATAGTTAAGATACAAGAAAGAGTAACTATGACAGAGATATTAATTCTAAATATTCATTAATATTTCATTAAAATCACAATTTGATTCGAGTCATATTCACTTTCTTTTATTTTTTCTCTCATGTATTTTCTCTTCTTGTTTTATCTTTCATTTTATTATGAATAAATAAAATACATTGAATATCAGTATTTTTAATTATTTAATAAATTTATTCATCTCTTTTTGTTTTTATCTTTTACAATTTTCTTCTTTTCTAACTGTTCATTTTGTGATATATTTTTACTATTTTATTCATATAATACACACATCTCAAAAGTATTTTAATTGAAGTATATCAGATATAACTTTAACATTTTGTTGAATATTCTCAGAAACACATTCTGCATTAAAATTATTGTTGATATAACTCATTTTAATATCATATCTCTGTCCAATTAACTCTGTATTTAATATTTTAATATCATTTTATTCACATTCTACATGAAAATGACTATGAACACATTTATGAATTAATTAACTTCTTTATGTTTGAATTTAATTTATCACTTATTTTAAATATTCTTTTTAATATTAAAATTGCTTAATAAACTTTAAATCACATGAATAAACAAATATATTTAAATTTAATTGTTTTATTCTTTGTTCATTTCATATTTTATCTTTTATTTATTTTTCTAATACATTATAAACATACACAAAATGATGCTTGTTATTTTACAATGAGAGATGAAGAAAATAAATTGTACAAGTTTTATTGATTCAAGTATTATGTAAAAATATGAAATGAACATTATTTGACAAAAAACAAACGACTTTCATTAATATTTATAATTGTTAATAACATAAAACTATTCTTTTTTCTTTCAAATAATTTTAAAGGAAATGACAATTTTCAATCATTTATTCTTGTTTTAATTGCATTGTATTTTAATTCTATTTTAAATTTATTCATTGTTAATTTCTTCATTCACATTATACAATTAAATTCAATTAAAATTAAAATCGGGTTATTTCCATCATATTTTCATCTAGTTGCATTTTATGAATTATGACAATAATCAGATTATTTATAAAAACAACGAATGATATAAACTTATAATTAATCTTATTGTCGCATAAAATATTTCAAATTATCATTATTTAATTCATAAATCAATGAATATCTCAAATTATAGAATTTTATTAGTCTGATTAAATTTATATCTGAAATCAATTACTACAAAAATAAAGAAAATAAAATTGATGATTGATTCATTAATAAAAAGAAATAAAAAATAAGAAATTTATTGAATAGTAAACTATATGTGTACTTATGTGTAGATATGTGCTTTTCTATATGTGTAGATATGTGTAGATATGTGCTTTTCTATATCTATATGTGTATGTGTATGTGTATCTATATGTTTCCTTCTTTTGCTTATTAATATAAGCTCACATAGTACAGAGGTAGTACATCAGATTGTGGCTTTGATAACCCAGGTTCGATTCCTGGTGTGAGCATCTTTTTAGACCTTTTTATTATTTATTATGTACTCTATACTTTTATACTTTTATACTTTTTATACTTTTTATACTTTTTATACTTTTTATACTTTTTTTATACCTATTATACCTACCCTTTCTATTTTATTCCTTTTATACTTTTATACTTTTATACTTATTCCTACTATATCACCTTTTATTCCTTTTCACTATTATGTGCCTAACTTCCTATTTCTTCTATATCTTACTTTATATTTCTATATTATACTT